AGCTCAGGGAGCCAAGGTTTCGTTTGGATGCCAGGAAGCACTTCCTGACAGTCGGGACCCCGAGGGTGTGCAATGGGCTTCCACGGGAGGAGGCTGAGGCCCCATCGGTTTGGGTGTTCAAGGATAGGCTGGACGTCCACATGGTGGGCATGTTGTGAGTGGAGCCGGCTGGTGCCGGAGATCAGACTAGATGGCCCGGGAGGCCGCTTCGGACTCCCTCGGTTTCTTTGGTTTCTTCTCGGTTGTCGGAGCATTTGGCTTAGGGGTTAGAAATCAGGGAGGAAAATGAAAGACTTCTGTGACGCCAACAGCCCGTTTGTCACAAATTGATTCTCCAGACAACTGTATACTTGCAAAGCACCAGATGGCCAGCATAGAAATCAAATAGACTGCGACAAACATCCATTCCTGAGGAATTCAAAGTTCACCCAAAGAACAGATTTGCATTGCTGAATGCAATTGACTGTGCAAAGAGACAATTCCTGAAGCAAAAAGGAAGAACAAGCCTAGACAAATGACAGAAGAAACTCTCGGGACAGGTAAGAAGCAAAGGGTACAGAAGCAGGGCCAGAATCCTGAGTGTGGCTTTTCAGGGCCTTTCACAGAGACAGAAAGAGCTGCTGCAACGGCCAGCCAGCGCAAAGAAATGGGACAACGAAGGAGAAAAAGGAAGAGGCCTTTTCCCAGAAGATCTAAGAAATCAAAGGGAAATTCAAACCTAGCTTAGGAATGCTGAAAGGCCAACAGGGAAACGTGCCTTCTGAACAGCATGCGATAATGAGGAGGAGGGAACAATTTACAGAAGAGGTATATGGAAGAGATTTAAAGCGACTGCAGACTCCTTCCAAGAGGAACCTGATGAGGAGCAGCTCGCAAGATTAGAAAACAAAGGGAAGGCTGCTCTGAAAGCACTTGGAGGGAATAAAGCGCCCAGGGAGGTCTGGGAGTGATGGCGCTGTGCCAATCCTTACAAGAATCTGCCAACAAAAACGGCAGCACTACAGCGGACCCCAGACCGGAAGGGCGCCATGTATATCCGGCCCCCGAGAAAGGAGGTGCAAATTGGCGCAGCAAGACGAGCACACTAATTTCCCATGCGAGCAGGAGGGCGGTCAAGGTGCTGCAAGATTTTGTTTACCTTTTATGAAGTGAGAAATGCCTGATGGACTCTGGGAAGGAAGAGACACCTGAGAGCACTTATTTATTAGATTTATATCCCACCTTTTTTCTTACAAAGGAGTCAAAGCGGCTTGTATGATACTCCTCCTGCTCTCAGTCTTACCACCACAACAACAGCCCTGTGAGGCAGGCTGGGCCGAGAGTCTGTGCCTGGCCCAAAGTCACCCCGTCGGCTCCGTGGCTGAGCAGGGACTGGAGTGCACAGTGCCTGAATCCCAGTCCGGTGCTTTTAACCACACTACACTGGTTGGCTGGTTTGTCTGTTTGCTTAAGTTTTTATAGCAAACACTCTCAGAACCGTTCACAGCTTAAAACCCAGTAAGAACAGTAACATCCCATAGTGATCATAACAATTTCAAAGATAACTACAGTTAACAAGGAAAATAAAATAACACTACACAACACAACACAAAATACTAATCCACTGCAACCATTCAATCAAAATCTGAATAAAAACTAATATAAAATCAACCATCTATTTAACAATTAAAATGATGGGATAATCAAAAGATTTTGACCTGGTGCCAAAAAGTATATGGTATTGGCACCAGGCAGGCCTCCTGGTGGAATTGGCTCCATAGATGGGGCCACAACGGAGGAGGTCCTTCCCTTCATGGCCACCTTCCTTCTGCTTTTAGCAGGGGCTCCTGGATAAGGACCTCCATGGGTGATCTTAGGGGTCAGGTAGGGGCATCCGGGAGGAGGCCATCCCTTAGCTGTCCCAGCTGTTCAGGGCTTTGTATGTCGATGGGAGCATCTTGACGCAGGCCTGGACTTCAACCGGTAACCGATGCAGTTGATAAAGAGCAGGGCTTATATGTTCATACTGGCCCACCCCAGTGACAGAGGGGCTGCCCTGCTCCGTACTTTGCTGGGTGTGTCTTCCGCGCATTTCCAAGCTCCGCTGTATGTAGGATAAGCACTCAAGCAGAGCTCAGCTCGCTTCTCTGCAATGTTCGGTGTGACTTTGGCAGCGCGACATGACCTCTGGCCTGGGTGGGCAACCCCTTCCCCTCTCCCGTGGGTGCCATCAGTCCATTGACAAAGGCTGACTGGACACGCCATTCCCATCCAGCCTGAGCAGCAGGGGGGCCTCCCGCCCCCCTCCCCAGCTTCCATCCACAAAAGTCTTGCACACAGAAGGATTTTGCAGGCTTTTATTGACTGGACTTTGTCACAGACAGCCACGAAATGGGAGCATCTACTGAGGAGCGGCTGCTGGCTTAATGCAGCTGGCTGGGGCGAGGGGGGGTCATTCCTTGCCACTGGCTGGCTCGCTCCGCCGCCCTCCCTGCTCACAGCCAGCCCCACCTCACTGGCCGCAGCCTTGCTGCGCCTCCAGCATATTCTGTCAAACTCCTCCTGCCCATATTCCCGGGGTCCTGTATTCAGAACTCCTACAGACGCTGGAGGCGGCTCCTTTCCAACCACGTCCAAGCCAGAGAGGTGAGAGAGGGTGAGGCAGAAGGTGCCGGGGCCACTTTGGGCAAGGGACCCCCGGGGAGGCCCGGAGCGCGCCGTGGCCACGAGCAGGAGCAGCCACTCTGAGCCCAGCAAGGTGGGGGCCGGCGCAAGGGGGAGACGAGGTGGTTGCGGGGGACAGGGAGGGCGTGCGGAGGGTGAGGCCTGGAGGCCAAGGAAGAAGCGGGTGGCCAGCGGTGCCCACTGCACCCTACTGGGACAACAAGTTTGCATCTTTGCAAAAGAGGCACGAACGCGTTTGCTTACACCAAAGGCAGTGCAGAAAGCAGCGGGGAAAGCTCTCGGCCTCGCGGGACACGCAGCCGGTGGCTGGAAAAGCCTTTCTTGGACAAGGGAATATTGCAGAGGAGTGGCGACATGACGTGGCTGAACAAGGATCTATTGAGACTTCCAGCGCTCCCTCCTGCGGCTGTGACGGAGATCTCCCCCCACAAGCCAGGATATCCGCGAATTGTCACCCCGCTATTCTTCTGCCACGACGACCGGGGCAGTTATGACTGCCCGTCTCTGCCTCAGTTCCCCCGACCTCACAGTCTGCAGCCCTGCCCGGCCGCGCGCACTGCGGACACCAGGAACTGACTGCTGTGTGGCCGGAGGGGCTGCGGCTCTGTGTTTACGGCCGGCTGGGCTGAGCAGGTCGACTCTTGAGCCCCTGGTGCTGCCAAGAGGGCTGCCTCCTCCACTGTGGAGCCCGGAAGGAGCAGAGAGGAAACCCGGCAGGCGGCTTTGGGGCTGCAGGCCAGGCCAAGGCGAGGGGGTCTCAGCACCCCTCCCGCCCCCAGGGCACATGGTGGGGGAAAGGGCAGTGTGTGCGGTGGGTGCGCTAGCAGCGTGCTGGGCCGTGCACTGCTCTTGCTATGCTGGGCCTGCCGCACACGGCCTGGGAGGCAGAGGTGTGGGGGAGGATCACGCCGTCGCTTGAACCGACCGGCCGCTCTGCACCTTCTGGCTCTGTGAGGCCCCGGCAGGGGGGGGGGCTGGGGCTGTGGGGGTGGCACGTCTTGCCCAAGGACAGGGGAGGCCTTTCAGCACCCGCCAGCTGTCTGGGGCTCCAGGGAGCATTGGCCGCTCTCCCGCGGCCCCCGCGGCAATGCCCACGGCGGGCAACGGGGCACGCGGTTTCGCCCTCAGACGCTGGAGGGGGCACTGCTTCGTGTGGTTCACCTCTGGCTTCCCAGGGCACTGCACTTGGGGGGGTGGGGTCAGAGAGGGCCTGTGCGTTCAAGGGGGCAGGATGGGGAATGCTTGCGTATCATGTGGGTCTGCCCCTGGAAACCGTTTGGAAGATGCAGCTTGCGCACAACGCGGCATCGAGGTTAACCCTCAGCACCAGAGGGTCCAGACACGTGGCGCTGCTTCCAGCCTGCTTGCACTGGCCGCCTGTTTGCTTCCGAGCACAAGTCAAGGTGCTGGCTTGGGCCTCTGAACCCCACTTGGCTTGGAACCTCGGCACCAGATGGGGCCCCTTCCCCACCCACGCCTGGAGCTGTCCTCTGGCACCCACCCCCAAGAGGGAGCCCAGAAAGGGAAGACGGGAGGAGGGCCTTCTGGCTGAGGCCTCCCGATGGCAGCATTGTCCTCTGGTCGGGGTCCAGTTAGAACTTCCCTCGGTCCCGAGGTGTTTGATGGCACCTGATGGGTTGTGTATGTGGCTTTAATTGGATCTTGTTTTTACGGGTTTGTTTCAGGTGTTAAACTGGTTTATATTTTTGTATATTGGAATTTTATCTGTTTTAAATTTGCACGTGGGAATGTTATTCGGTGCTTATTGTAGTGGTATTTCTATTCTATCTTGTGTATTTGATTAATTGTTGTGAATTGCCCAGAAAATGTCAACCACTGCACGGTACAGAAATGCAAGAAATAATTATACAACCACATTATCTCCAGAAGTGGTAGCACCTGCCCCCATTCGCAGAGGACTGGTGAAAGCCGCCCACTTTGAAGGCTCCTGGATCCCAAAGGCAAGGCAAGGCTCAGCCGGGGAGGGGCTGCCAACAGCGAGGCTTCCGCTTGCCGGCTGCACCTTCCTTGCCGGGGGGG